CGCCAAGATAAGAGTCGTTTCTCAATCTCGTCTGCCGATAACTGTCAGACGGGCTCTTCTCCATCTCACTTTCCCTTCTTTGATACTCCTCTAAATCCCGATCTTTATGGCCATCCAGTGGTTCCAGCATAAACGGAGGGATTTCCTACAAGATAATATATATAAAGTGCATAATAACAAAATTTACATAAACGTATACATCAGAGAGTCCCGAAATTCGCGAATCAAAATATCGTAGAAAGTCTTCGAAAAATTAAGTAAAAAAGTCGTTTGTACATTTTTATTTTAAGCAATAGTTTTTGAGATACAAGGGTTTAAATTTAGCCAATTATAGATTAGTACTCGCGTGAAGTGCGCGACCACTAACACTATCGACGCGTTCACGGACATGTTTCCGTTTAATCGTAATTTATAATTGGCTAAGTTTAAACTCTTATATCTTAAAAAAACTTGAATTAAAAATTTACAAATAACTTTTTTACTAAGTTTTTCGAAGACTTTCTTGCTATATTTTGATTCGCAAATTTCGGGACACCCTGTGTATATAATCTAGTATTTGAAACTCACATTCATTTGAATCCAATCTTTGTAAACGGCAATAGCCTTTCTTATGGCTCCCGCATGATGGAAATCCAGGAGAAATGCCTGCCTGTACAATTCGTGTACAAAGTTTACATTATCCCTATTTCCGTACAAAACCTCTCTGACTAACACGGCCGAAACGGCACTGTCCTCCTGATTTTGACTATCCTGCTGGGACATGGCTGACTCGGGCGACAGTAAATTCGAATCCGCCGAATTTTGAGTGTACACCGACACACGGCGTAATTCTGATTCGGCGTTTTCCTCGTTTGGTGTTGTGCTAAATCAATGTACGATAATGTGTCATAATTGAAATTACTGTTTGCAGAGGCGAATATGTTGTAAGTGAAATTGATTGTAAATATATAAATTACCTCTGCGAAAGATGTGCGAAAGGTCCATCTTTTCGAGCGACGTGCGTGAAGCTTGCGATCCATTTGATTAAAGCGACTTTACAAAGTACATAGTTATTCTGATTTTGATTCGTCGGTTTGCGCATCGTCGGTAATTCCAAATTAGGTTTGTAGAGGGAAAAGTTGTCGTTGAATTCCGAACAGATGTGACGAAGATACGCTACCTTAAAACGTTCTAATAAAAATTGGAAGGTTTTATGCTGGCGTGTAGATTTATCTCGCCATTCCACTTTCACCACCTGGATAGCATAAACGAATGATTGTAAATCATTTTTATCGCACGCTTTTTTAAGATTAGATATCTATGAATACGCCCATAGAGAAGTATGAATTTATATTAGGGTTGATGATTTGCTTCGAAGGTTTTGATATTCGAGCTTCGAAACTTCGAAGATTCAAAGATCGGCATTAAAACTGTCTCTTATACACATCTCTGAGCG